CAGCAGCGATAGAAGATGATGAAGAATAGGGGAAGTTTCCGGCGATTTGACCAAATACCTAAAAATGTGGAAGCAATTGACTCAAACAGCACAACCCTGTTTTGGAAAGGAACATGGTAAGGAAATGAAGAAACTGAGATTCCTTTTGAGTATAATAGCCTTTTCGCTTGATGTGAATCATCTAAAATGGAACTTTGAAAGCGCATTGGCACATTTTAGATTTAATCTGTTGGTTTAATTTAATGGGGTTTTTAGTGAAGAGTTGCATTTTTTCTGTGATGTAATAGATCCATTTCTTTTAATGTCTTGGAAGGCATATATAGGAATTATTTAGTTAAAGGATTTTATTCTTCAGAATATACGAACTACTGCTTACCATGCTTCCGTAACTAACTTACTTTACCTTGAAGAATGGCCGTGAAATATGGGCCAAATGGTCAGTAATGGCCAGTCATCCGATTAGCCAAATTGTTTGCGTTACGTAAACGCAAACAAGCGGTGTTTTGTGCTGTTTTCAGTATAAACAGCAAATCACTAAACAAGTGCTCGATCGTCGATAATAAGTAACATTTTATTTCAATTCTTCCGATTTGCCAGTCGTGCTTGCATCGTTCCGTTGCGGATAGTCGCCTAGAGGATCATTTAAGTTAGCAACGGCTCCATGGATGTGAAACTGCATCACTGTTTACCGATGGAGGTATATTAGTTTGCGTTAGAATTGTTCCTTTTTGACCCAAAACAGTAGTTCTATTTTTACTGCTGTTCCTTAAACAGCTCCCTAGGCAAAGTTGAACAAGAAACGGTGCGCCATATTAATCGGAGCAGTTGGATAACATGTTCTTTTAATCCGCGGTATTGAAGATCAGCAGTATGCTAGAAAATTTAGGGGTTATCTGGGTTATTTTTATTTGATAAGCCAATTGACAGAGGTATAGCGTTTGGCGATCGAACATTTTTGTTCGACGCATTAAGAGAATTTAAAGTTTAGAAAATAGTGTTAATAAAG